TGACATCCCGTCTCAAAAAAAAAAAAAAAAAAAATTTTATTATTAAGTGCTGGATTTTGTATACAGTTAAGATATATAAAATTGAGTACAATTTTAGTTCCTGTGGTGTGGGGGGGGGGGGGGGGGGTTAGCCATATTCAGTAAAAATTGTTTTATAGGTATACCACCTGAAACTCACCAGTCACCTCATCTTAGCCTGAAGGATATCACCAATGTATCCTTGTATCCTGTTGTGAAAATCAGAAAGCTTTCTCTTTCTCCAAAAAAGAATATAGCAAGCCCAGCAGTGTCTCTACCTAAACGTAGGTGTACAGTCAGTGTGAACTATAAGGAGCCGACCCTCGTTTCGTAAGTATTTGGTTTTTGGGAACTCATTTTTAATGATACATGGTGGGGGGACTACGGTTATTGGAGTTTGTTCAAGACTGAGTTTTATCTGAAATATAAACATTTGATTTAAAAAAACTGAAGTGAGAACATTTAAAATTGGTGTGTTTTCCCATAACTTGATACTGAAGAGTAAGTTAATATTAGGATCCTTATATTATTCCTGAGATCTCTTTTTACTCTTACAGGAAGCTGAGAAGAGGAGACCCTTTTACAGATTTATGTTTCTTGAATTCTCCTATTTTCAAACAAAAAAAGGATTTGAGACGTTCTAAAAAAGTATGAAACAAATACAATGAAGGTTTTGTTGGATAGTGTTTAAATTGAATCTACACTTCTTTCTATTGCTTCAAGAGAAGATCTGTAAGAGTACACAAACGGAGTGAGCTATTGCCATAGAATATTCTCTTAACATTACCCTAGCTCATAAACATTTCTTCAGAACTATGCTTCAAATGGGATGTTTTGTATTAAAACGTTAATAAAGTTAATTTATTTTTTCTTTTGAATACAAATAACTGAACTTAAGCATTATCATCATAAAGATTTCTTATGGTGCCCGAGCCTCTTAATTTTTCTTTATCCATCAGTGAACATTTAAGTTTGTATATCTTTGAAGAAACATCTATTCAAATTCAATACGTTGTTTTTTGTTGTGTTTTAGTTCTATATATATATTAGATATTAGTCCCTTATCAGATATGATTTCCAAATGTCCTCCCCCATTCTGTGGGTTACCTTTTTACTCTTGATAATGTCCTTTGATGTACAATAGATCTGAAACTTGAACCCAGTTTTTGTCTATTTTTTCTTTTGTTGCCTGTGCTATTGGTGTCATATCCAATAAATCATTTTCAAATAAAAATGTCATAAAGCTTTTTCCCATCTATATTCTTCTAAGTCATAATTTTTTAATACAGAGGTAGAATTAATTTGCTAACTTTTTTTTTTTTTTTTTTTTTTTTTTTTTAAGACAGGAGTGTTGCTCTGTTGCCCAGGCTGGAATGCAGTGGTGCAATCTTGGCTCACCGCAACCTCCAACTTCTGTGTTCCAGCGATTCTCCTGCCACAGCATCCCAAGTGGCTGGTATTACAGGTGTGCACCACCGTGTCCAGCTAATTTTTGTATTTTTAGTAGAGTCAGGGTTTCACCATGTTGACTAGGCTGGTATCAAACTCCTGGCCTCAAGTGATCCACCTGCCTCAGTCTCCCAAAGTGCTGGGATTACAGGTGGGAGCCACTATGCCCAGCCAACATTGTGTTTAGGATTTTTTGTATCTATGATCATGAGTAAAATTTGCCTATATCATTTCTTGTATACACCTTGAATTTTTGGTATCAAGGCTATACTAACAATGTTTTCTTTTTTTGCTTTGTGGGAACAAATTGTACCTACTGAGAGTTTGGTGAACTTGACACTAAAACCATCTTATCTTCTATGCTTTCGTGGAGAAATTTTGTACTAGTTTTTTAATGATTATAAGTCTTACAGGTTCTCTAATTCTTATGTGTTTAATTTTCTTCCTTGGGAATTATAAACGTACATGTATTGTGGAAACTGCTGTAATTTTACTTTCATTGAATTGTTTTTGGCTTTCTATCTGCTACAATTTGGTTTCTCCAAATCTCATGTTGAAGTCTGATCCCCAGTGTTGCTGGGGGGTCTAATGGCAGGTGTTTGGGTCATGGGAACAGGTCCCTCATGAATGAATTAATGCCCTCACTGGGAGGATGGGATGAGTCAGCTCTCACTCTATTAGTTCCCAAGGCAGCAAAGAGCCTGGTGCCATTTCTCCCTTGCTTCCTTTCTTGCCGTGTGACGTCTGCACATGCCAGCTCCCCTTTGCCTTCCACCATGAGTGGAAGCAGTCTGAGGCTTTCACCTCATGCCCAATCTTCCAGCCACCAGAATTGTAAGCCAAATATACATTTTTTCTTTATAAATTATCTAGCTTCAGGTATTCCTTTATATCAACACAAATGAACTATCTGCTTTTTATGTCATTTTGATAATGGTCAAATTCTGTGTTTTCCTTAAAATGAATTCAATTTTGCCTTCACTTCTGAGGTATAGGTTAGTGTTACTAATTTTCTTAGTCTTGATTTTGTTGTTGAAAAGCCTTGTCATTCTAATTATTCTTCCTATTTTGTTAATTTGGCTGTTACCATTTCCTTATTACAAATATATTGTTCTTAATTTTCAGTTATTTTCCTGCTAGTTTATGGAATACAGTTGATTTTCATATCTAGACATTGTTAAATTCACCCACTAGTTCTACCATTTTTTGCAGTTCCATTAGGATTTTTTATGTACATGATCTTAAAGTCTACACATAAAGTTTACTTCTGTTTTGCCTGCCTTTTCTTGCTTTCCTGCACTGACTAGAACTTCATAATGAATAGGAATGAGAAGAGCAGTTATCTTTGCCTTGTTCTCAACTTTAGGAGGAAGCATTTGGTCCTACGGCATTACTGTGATATTAGCTATAAGTGATTATTAATAACCTTTCTCACACTGAGACATTTCCTTGTATTCTTCCTTTGCTGGGAGATTTGACTAAGTGTCAAACCTTGACAGATAACTTTATTGAGGTGATACTGTTTTCTCCTTTATTAATATGGTGAGTTAAATTAACGGATTTCTCATGTTAAATCAACCTTGAGTTAATGGAATAAATCCATCACTCAGTCATAACATCATTTTTGTATATTGCTGAATTTTGTTAATATTTTGTTAAAGATCGTCACATCTATGTTTGTGAGAGTTATTGGTCTATAGTTTTCTTGTGGTTTTTGAATTTTTTCTAGCTTTATCAGGACAATAATATAAGCCTTATAAAAGGGGCTCACAAGTCTTCCCACCTCTTCTCTTTTCTGAAAGAGTTTGCGTAGATTGATATTACTTCTCTCTTGAATGTGTGACACACTAGTGAGACTATCTGTGCTAGGACTTTTGTTTGTAGAAACATTTATTTTTAATTATGAATTCATTTTTAAAGATGATGTAGAGATGTTTAGGTTTTCTATTTCTTCGGACAGTTTTGCTAATTTGTGTTATATAAGGACTTCGTTCATCTAAGTTATCAAATTATTTGACATGTTATTCATAATATTTCCTTGCACTCTTTGTCTTGCATAAAGAGCTGTAGTTATCCTCCTCTCATTCCTGATATTGATAACCTTTTTCCCATTTGCCTCAAGAATAATTTTATAATACTTCCTTGTACTTTTGTCTTGCATGTAAGAGCTGTAGTTACCCTCCTCTCATTCCTGATATTGATAACCTTTTCCCTGTTTGCCATGAATATTCACTGGCAGCGTTTGCGGCTGCAGAGTTTACCCAGAGATAACTTTGCCACAAAATGATCTCGCTCTTACCATTATTTTTGCATCACTCTGGTGTATTAACTTTGGAAACAAAAGATACCATTGCATTTATAGCATTGTTATAGTAGTACTGTATTTCCATTTAGAAAATATAGTTATCTGGCTAGCCATGTGCAGAAAGCAGAAACTGTACCCCTTCCTGATACCTTACACTAAAATTAACTCCACATGGATTAAAGACTTAAACATAAGACCTAACACCATAAAAACCCTAGAAGAAAATCTAGGCAAAACCATTCAGGACATAGGCATAGGCAAGGACTTCATGACCAAAACACCAAAAGCATTGGCAACAAAAGCCAAAATAGACAAATGGGACCTAATCAAACTCCACAGCTTCTGCACAGCAAAAGAAACAGTCATTAGAGTGAATCAGCAACCAACAGAATGGGAAAAAAATTTTGCAATCTACCCGTCTAACAAAGGGCTAATATCCAGAATCTACAAAGAACTAAAACAGATTTACAAGACAAAAACAAGCCGATTCAAAAATGGGCAAAGGATATGAATAGACACTTTACAAAAGAAGACATACATGCGGCCAAAAAACATGAAAAAAATGCTCATCATCACTGGTCATTAGAGAAATGCAAATCAAAACCACATTGAGATACCACCTCACCAGTTACAATGGCGATCATAAAAAAATCTGGAGACAGATGCTGGAGAGGATGTGGAGAAATAGGAACACTTTTACACTGTTGGTGAGAGTGTAAATTAGTTCAGCCATTGTGGAAGACAGTGTGGCGATTCCTCAAGGACCTAGAAATAGAAATTCCATTTGAGCCAGCAACCCCATTACTGGGTATATATCCAAAGGATTATAAATCGTTCTAAGGAAACATGCACATGAATGTTCATTGCAGCACTGTTCACAATAGCAAAGACTTGGAATCAACCCAAATGCCCATCGATGATAGACTGGACAGGGAAAATGTGGCACATATATACCATGGAATACTATGCAGCCATAAAAAATGAGTTTGTGTCCTTTGTAGGGACATCGATGAACCTGGAAACCATCATTCTCAGCAAACTGACACAAGAACAGAAAATCAAACACTGCATGTTCTCACTCATAGGCGGGTGTTGAACAATGAGAACACATGGATACAGGGAGGGGAGCATCACACACTGGGGTCTGTGGGGGAGAACTAGGGGAGGGACAGTTGGGGGGTGGAGAGTTGGGGAGGGATAACATGGGGAGAAATGTCAGATATAGGTGATGGGGAGGAAGGCAGCAAACCACATTGCCATGTATGTACCTATGCAACAATCTTGCATGTTCCTTACATGTATCTCAAAACCTAAAACGCAGTAAAATATATACTAAAAAAAAAAATACAAAAATTAGCTGAGCTTGGTGGTAGGCACCTGTAATCCCAGCTACGTGGGAGGCTGAAGCAGGAGAATCACTTGAACCCAGGAGGCGGAGGTTGCAGTGAGCCAAGACGCCACTGCACTCCAGCCTGGGCAAAGCAAGACACCATCTCAAAAAAAAAAAAAAAAATAGCATGAAGGGGTGACAAATAATTAACTGGTCCACAGTACCTCAGTCTGATCTTGCTTCTACTTCTTAGTTTCTGGAAATTGTTCTTCCAGGTATAATGAAAACCTCAAAGTCTCCCTTTCGCCATCTGCTTCTAATAAATATGACCAATTTTTAATTATTGATTTAAGTAGACATTCTCCATTATAGAAGTTTACTTCCTTGTAGGAGGACATACATCATCTCCTGGCTTCCTCATGCCCCCCTCATTCATTCTTACCCCTGAAGGGACTTGCCTAACTAAGGAGTTAAATAATAACATACTTACCATTGGTTATTATGGACATAGGTTGATACGCCCTGCTCTTACCTGGGCCTCTTCGGGGTTGACCTGCCTTCAGAGAGCACCACTGCTCTTGGGCCTGCTATAAGCCTAGTGGGAAAGTCCCTACCCCATTAGTGGGTACAGAGCAACTGGTCAATCACATCCTGGGGTTCAGCATTAGCCCATTTTCCACAGATAAAAGGAAGCTACATTCCCAATATCCATTTTACTAGTATTAAAGGTAATATTTCGGCTATCATATGCCCTTTAAAAAAAAAAAAAAATACCCAGTTGGTTTGGATTTCAATAGGGAAAAGGGCTTCTCTTGGTTGGGTCCTCTCAAATCCCAAAAGGATATAGTGTTCTTTCCTACAGACATCATTTTGAATTAACACTAGAAGGTCATATGGGAGATGTTTAAAAATCGGCTGTATTTTTGTCTCATTCATATATTTCACAGATGCAAAGTAAAAAAAACAATTAAAAATCTTTTGATTTATAAACCAACAACTCTTCTTTCAATGGATCTTTTGTGTTACTGTTTAGTGGGTGAGTGGGTAAAATGCAGTAGATAACTCAAAGACAGAGTAAGCAACTCAAAGACAGAGTAAGCATCTCTCTTGAAAATTTCTTACTGATGAGCTATGGATTTTTATGAAACCTCCCACAAATGTAACAGAATGCTTAAGATGTAAGGTTTAAGGATTTAGTTGATAGTCATCAACCAGATCATACATTTTTTTCTGTTAATCTCAGCCTACTGAAAGAATAAAACACACCACAAGATTGGAAGCTTTTTAAAATATAATTTAAAACTATTTTGTACCAGTACAATATATTAATTTTACAAATGTAAAATTTTATCAGCTGTTAAAGCATTTGCAAAAACCACACGTTCTACTTCAGCTTTATTGCACAATATCTATAAGAAAATATTAATTTTTAAATTAGAAAACATAAAAATGCTTTCAATATAGAAGAGACAATCTGGTTTTAAAGACAATACTCTATAAGAATGTCTACTCAGAAAATAACAAACTTTCACAGGATACCAGGCTGGATAGATGCTTCGGCAAATCCAGTACAAAGCACTATTTAAAACCAGTCCAAGATACTTAATCCAAACTGTATCATCATTCTTCATTAGAAATCTAGACACCACTCACGGTGGTTTCTTATACTTTAAAAAGCTGAGGCATTTTCAGTGTGAGCATTCTGAATATCTCTTACATATCAAAAACAATACTTCCAACTCAATAGCCATTCGCAGGGTTCTTTTTCCTTCATGCAGATTATCACTGGCAACTGTTTTTAATGACTATTCATGACCATTTTATTTATGCTGATAGAAAACATCAAGTTAAATATGCTTTTAAAACCTTGTCCTTTACAAAAATCAGTTTATAAATTTGCATCATAAAAATTAGTGTTGAGACCATCAAGATGGCCTTCATTTATATGGTTGTATATGAGATGGTTTTCCCAGAGTTGGGATGGCAGATGTCCCACTTTTCTATGTAGTGTAATCAGGAAATAAATCCAAGCCCTAAAGTGGAATCCCAAGACAGATTAATAAGGTTGCATGATGGCTTTTGGGGGTTTATGACCCTGGACCCATATACTGATGTAGGTGTTAAAATACTGACAGCAAACCTTGGTGGGAATTTATCTCAGACAATAAACATAATCTGGAGATACAAAAAGGAAAATATTCATATACATATTATCAGTGTGGCTGTGTGTATCACAGAAAAGAAAAAAACATTCTTTATTAGAACGAGGATTCACCAGATTGATACATATATAGACCACACATCTTTTCCTATTAAAGCATGTTGATTCAATCTCATGTGTTTTCAAGTTTATGCCTTTGTGGACAGGGAAATTATCTTTTGGAACTTATGGCCTGCATAAGCAAAGTCAAATATGATATTACACATTTGTGTAGAGAAAATAATTATTAAAATAGTGGTTATGTACTAACAAGTTTGTTGTAGGTAGACAGAATTATCAAAAACCTAGATGCTTATTTTAAAAGTTTGCATTATTTAGAATTTCTTCCTTAGGAATCAAAGCAGTTGCTTTTCTGGAATTGCATTTTTCAGAACTGCTCAAAGCACCTCATCTAGATGAGTGTTTTTAAAAATATATATAAAAAGTCTACGACGAGACTTCAGACATCACATATTTCCCCTCTCACAGGCTTTTTTAAAAATCACGTATCCCTTCCTTAAAGTCCTTCAGAATAAAATAAAAATAAACTCTCACATTCCATTAGAAAAACATGGAAACATTCACGGTCTGAAAATTTTATGGATTTCCCCAAATTTTGCTACAATGTGCAATTTCCTCACATAAAGGTTTTGAGGAAACCCCTAAACATCTATCATGGAATAGTCAGCTAATGGACATGCCATAGAAAATTTACATTAATAGTAGTAAATAGATTAAAATCTATTCCATAAAATAAAAATGTTCTATGACTTCAATTTAAATACATATCTGAAAAGCTAAAAGGAGGTTTTTTGTTTGTTTTTCAAAAGTGCTAATTATTACATTTACAAGTCTCTTCAATACATTATGTCCAATTCTTTGTAAAAAACTAAACCACCTTGCTTTAGGCACACTGCTTGATGAGTTTCTAAGAAGCAGAGGGGAAAAAAATCACTTGTCAATTAATCCAGCTTCCTTAATTTTACTGAAGAAGAATTTCTCCAGGATATTGGCACATTTGTAGTATTCACTCTCAGGGGGGTTGTACTCTTTGCAATTGGTAAAGACTCGCTGTAAGTCTGCCATGAATAATTTCTTAGACACGTAGTACCTATTCTTGAGGCGTTCACTCATGGTTTTCAGATCTGCACAGGAAAAAAAAATATTAGCAATCTTTGACTCCTTTTAAACATTAGCTGACAGAACTGGGACTGGGAAAGAAATCTATGTTGTTGGTTTGATTACATGTTTATCATCCCAATGCTTTTATTTAAGATAAATTCTTACGATCAAGGAAAACAGTTCTTAAATCTTATGTTCATTCTTTTGTGGGTTTTTAAAAAATGTAAAATCATAGCCTTCTAGCATTAAGGGGACCATTATTAGTCATCTGGTTCAATCCCCTATTCAGCACAAGGAAGCTAAGTAGATTAGCAACAATAAGTATGATGAACTGACTACTGTTAGCTGTTCATTCAGAATTATACAGAAGAGGCTCTGTCTATATGGAGTAGAGCAGGTGGAACATTTGTATTGAATCATTTAATTATTTAAACCAATGAGAGAGGGTTTTTTTTCACTAAACTCACAGTTGTTTTGGTGTCATATAGATAAAGTAGAAAAACTGATAATAAATACACCTGTGAATATACTAGTGACCTTGCATGTAA